ATTATCGATATAATTACATATTAAATTATGTATGGTAAATATGCATAACTTCAAATAATACTTTCTGTACACATGCTTATTACCTATTTTAATTGTGAATTGCTTCACAATATTAGGATTTAAAATAATTGATTTCAAAGAAGTATATTAGATGATGGTTAACAATCCAAACTTCGCAAATAGGGAGAGTATCGTAATTTGTACCACAAAAAATTTCTAAATTTGAAATTAAAAGACTTAATTTAAATGAGTAAAATAATAACATAAAAATTTGAACGAGTACCAGAATTTATTAAATACATTAGAAGGAAAATGTTAAAGTATTCACAACTTCGAACTTCGAAGAATTTGTGTAGATTAATTACGCTGCCAAATCAAATAATAACATTACACTCTTTAAACCTCACCTGTAAAAATGTCTGGGAAAAGAGCAATTTATAAATTCAAACATAAAACAGAAGATCAAAATGCACTTTGAAAACCGTGAATAACCAACACGAAAAAATATTTTCTTACATTAAATAGCAAGTTCTAAAAATATTACAGAATATAAATATATAATGTAAAAGTGAATTATGGCTATTATTACTAAAATATATAATAAATAAACGTAATACAACGTAACTTGAAGGTCTTTCAACTTTTCACCGAGAATGCAGTGTGTGAAATTATCATTTAACAATAAAAAATGGCACCTTTGGAACTTGCACTTTGGAACGAAAAATTAACACCAACACATATTGTTGATAATTAATCTTTACGTTGATGTGTTTAAAAATAAATTTCAAAATACCTCAACAAAATCTCACAATGTATTAATCTCAACAGCTCTACATGACCGTTAATGGCCACTACTCCAAAACAGCTTAATGCCAACACAGCCTTTATGATTATAATTGCGTTTGGGGTGGTGTGAGAGGCGACCAATCCGTTTGCTCTTGCTTGGCAGATTGAGTAGGAGAATTTTCGGCGACGTGCTGTTCCTGCTGAGGTTGGACATGTTCTTGAGACACTGCTCCTGCAGAACTGCACAAAGCCGAAGAATGATATAGAGAAGCAGCAATCCGTGCCGAGTCGTTTCCTACGCCCTCACCAGACGAAGCGTAGTGTTCACCACTGGTTGCAAGAGATGGTAAATAGTCGCCAGTCTGTAAGTACATCGAAATACAAATTATTTTAAGGTAAAAATGTAATATTTAAGTCCCATGTGATTTTTTAATGTCATGGAATGATTCAATTTAACTCTTCGTCTACATTTCCAAAAATTGTAGACCTCTGTTTTAGGTATCAGTGAACATTTACCTTTTCGTAAAGTGTCAGCAAAGCAATATATATTGAAAAAAACCCTTTACATATATTGACAATTCTAAAAAGTTAATTGACGTAGTAAGGGGGCGTCCATTAATCAAGTGAGCCTTAAAGGGGGAGTTTGACAAAAATTACAAAGTATCACGTGGGGAAGTAGAGAGTCTAGAAAGATATCACGTGTCTTTATTTTTTACCTCAATTAAAAAATCCAAAATTAAGAAAACAAACGAACATTTCACGATTTTTTTTTCTAGGTAGGGTGCGGTAGACAAACGTGGGCCACAGGTTGAAGTGGGCCACCTGAATAACTATAAGACTAGTGACATATATGTTGAACTGCGCACATATTAATCATATTTTGGAGGTACTCTCGCACTGTTCAGAGTAATGCGCTAAGAATTTGGTCGAGAAAGTTTTTACCCTCGTACGCCTTACGTGATTTCTCATCGAATTTTCACGAGAAAAATTCAAGTAAATATGCAATATATTATATAGACATATAATCTTTGAAATGCAAAATGATTTTTGCCGATTGTTTATATTGTGTTTTTGTAGAATGCATATGCAAAAAAGGCGTTTGTAGACAGAAGTGAGCCACTATTTGTGGACAGACATGGGCCACTTGAGTAATGCCGTTCTTTGCACAGTAAAGTGTTTTTATTCTTTAAACATCTCATTTACTTATTTTTATAACTTCAGTCATTGTGCCTCCTAAAAAAACAGAGAACTCCCAAAAGTTTCCAAAAAGGGCCATTTACAGTAACCATTTTACAACCAAAAATAAAAACGTGGCCCACTGCTGTCCACCGCACCTAAAACATACGTAATATTTGATGAAGAAGGGATAATTTTAAATATCACCAAGTATCACTAAGAGGGAGGGAGTTTCAAAAATCCTTAGAAATTGCTCACGTGATTAATGGACGCCCTCTAAATGGATCAGTGATTATTGATAGTAGATAGAGAGTTCTGTAATATTTGGCATTAATATATATAATAATTGAATAGAAAATTAGTTTAAGTATTCTGATTGTATAACCAGAACATATTTCTGTGGAAGGATGTAAAAGGACTAATGTAATTTAAAATTTATTTATAAAAAAAATCCAATACACCTATTTTTAAAAATATATCACATCCGTTGGAAGATATATCATTGAGTTTTTTTGCGGTATACATATATTTTTATAGTCAATCAGAATAAACATTACACCTTTAAACTATGTGTTAGTCTTTATGGCTTTGAGGAGTCTATCTCCAATAAGATACTACTTAACTTTTTACTTAAAATCTTATAGCTATTTTTTTCAGTCTACATGTCGACAATTTTTGACTTAGTTCATTTAAATATTGATTTGGATGACCTGGTAGTACCTACTTCAAGTTTATCACCTTTCATGATCGATCAGTATTAACTCATCGACGTTTCGTGATTGTGCATGTGTAACACTTCAAGCACTTGAACTTTTTGTTACACATGTATCAATAAAGTATTAAATAGTTTAGCATGTAAATATATTTACATAAAATACTAATAAATCTGCAGAAAACTATTCAATCAAATGTTAAATTTTAATATAAATTATATTTTTTTTCATCGATACTGTATTCGATGTGTATAGTCCTAAGATGCCGCTTCTTTAAATCTTTATATTGACGACATAGCAAGTCCTAAGTTCTATTAACAAAATATTGTAATATTCATATAACCTGGTAATGATATCCGTTTTGAATGAGCGTGTAATCATTGACCGTCTGCCAACCAGCATATCCGCCAGCGAGCGCTTGATAGCTGCTTATAGCGGCCGCTTGCTGGTGACTGTGCTGGCCATGGACATCGACTGGAGAGGCCGTTTGCAAGTGGTAAGGATCAATTCCCGAATGCTGATATCCGAGCTGAAATATAAAAGTATGGTACAGTTTTTAAATATACTCTAACTAGGACAGACATACTTCTAATTAGTAGTCAATTAACTTTGAAACAACTGAAAAATTTGAACTGTATCAGACTTCTTCATACATTTTAAAAAATTTGATTTATAATATATTTTTATAATATCAAAGATTAACAAATTCTTTGGAACTATAGACTTATGGAACTATAACTTACAACTATCACCCATGAAAAGTTAATTAATCTATTGCAGGATTTTTGTAAAAATTCATAATAAATGGTTTTCAAGTATTTAGTTCTACACATGATAAACTTTTCATTCCACGAGAAAAAAAACAAAATAAAACTGTGTAATGTAAGCTATCCTTTATTCAATTCGAAATTTATGTTGTATGTTATATTATAATGAACTTCATTATAATATAATCCAGTTTTAATAATTATTATATATAAATTTTACATATTATAAATACAAATATATTACACAGGGCAGAGCGGGGCTCAAGAGTCCGCGGGTAAAAAGGTCCACCGATATCTCAAAAACAAGTAAAGTTAAGAATTTTTTAACAACAATATTTGAAAGTAAAAGAAACAAAATGTATAATCAGCCTTCACCTTGATTCTTACAAAGTTGCTATCGAGAGAAAAAAGGCAATGTTTGAAAATCCATAACAAAAGTATTTTGTTTCGTTGTTAGATTTTTCGGTTGTACGCACTGTTGTTTAGTTTACGACACCTTAATATAATTATTAAGTATACGCTACTTAATTGTTATAAGATGTATTGTTAATTTTAAATTAGATTTAACCATTTTTTTATATAACTCCTATAAAAGCTTACATCTGCGCGGAGTAAACCTTTACCCTGGCAAAGGTGTAAACAATGAAAAATAGTGAACAAAAAAGTAAATTAAGTTAAAAAAAATAATTTTACAGAAGATAAATTAAATTAATAGTTATTCCAACTTTGCTGATTAATATTTCTGACAAAATACCAGATCAAGATTATATACAGTGTTTTCTTCGTTCTTGGCCGTACCATTATATCCAGCCCATGGAGTAAAAATTATCAGGTAACAAATTTTGAAAAAACAGCAAAAAGCACATTTTTATTATTTTGAAGTAGCTGGTAGTTTTACTGAACATAGTCAGATAGTTATTTGTTGTAATATAATTAGTTTGGTTTTCACGATATAATTGCTCGAATTCAAATTGGACCTTTGAACCCCACCCTACCCTATTAAATAATAATAAATGTTAACAAATCAAAAGCTTTATAACTTCGACAATTACATATTATTATGTTATATTGGGTTCATTACTCAGTTTAGAAATACACAAAGTGGCGAGCATAGCTCTTTGGTAGCGTGTTCGATTCACACGACAGGGATCTTCGGATAAAATCCTGTCAATGACTTACAATTTATGAAAAAAAAGTGTAGTTAATTTGAAATCAAATAAAAATTGTATTTGTTAAATAGAATTTGAATAAAAATTAAGAAAAATATGATTAACAGAATTCGAATAGTTGAATTGAATTAGGAGTAAGAAGAGAAATATTGGAACTTGAAAGAAGAATGAAGAAAAAAAATGGAGTGAAGCTGAAAGTTAAATAGAATTAGAAATTTGAAAAAAAGCAAGAATTGAAGAAAATAAGAAGAAGAAAATTTAAGAAGAATATAGAATAGGATACATAAAAATTAGAATGTAAATAGATAAAAATGTTGTAGGTGGCTAAATGCTCAGAGTAAGCGAGGCAAAAAAACTAATATCTGCATAAATTTCAACTAATTAATTGATTAGTTTAGTAGCTTCACCTGAATGATCATATACGTCATATACTCAATGCCAAGCATTGATACAATATATGAACAAACAAGCATTGATACAATATATTTAATTATTCATTTTAAAATATGACAAAATCATATTATACAATTTAATCTCCATATTATCAAATTTACCTGATATCCAGCTGTTCCAGGACTATGTCTTCCATCGCAGGGCGTAACTGATCTACTGCCCAGATTAGTAGTATCAGCTGAGCAGTTTAATCCTGCGCCACTGCTGGAAGATGTTCCTGCTGAGCCTTGTGGAGGGGGCGTGCTGGTTACCGGCGTCCAATATTGAGGCGCCACTAACGAACTTGCTCCTAACCCGGATGAAGACTGAGCAGCCACGTGATGAACACTTGTGCTGGGAGAAGCTGGTGACACGGTCCATGACGGGTATGTAAAAATCGTATCAGCCGCCAAATATGCTAGAATTAGATACATTCATGTTAAAATCAAACATTGAATAAAATAATACAATAATAAGGGGTTAATAAGTTTTTACTATTTCATTTATTATGTACTCTTTGGTCAAATAGGCAGTACCTTTTATAATTTTAACCAAACTAAATAGTATTTTTTAACTTATTATTTTTGCAAGTTTATAACATATCTCTGCTTTTGATTCTCAATATAATTATAATTACTATAATCACATTTTTAATTATAATTATAAGTATTTCATAATTAAAATTTACCTCAATAATTTTCATATATCTATTCAGAATAATGAAAAGTATCATTATTAACTGATCGCATCCTACTTTTAACTTGATAATTAGCACTATAAATACTTCAATTTATTAAACTAGCTGTAAGTGGAATTCTGTCTTAAGGCAATTAAGGCATCCTGCTTTAAGGCAAATTGGAACTTCCCGTACCGCAATTCAAATTCGAGTAATTAAAAATAATAAATAATAATCAATAAAAGTTGATCAATGATTTGAAACTTTTAATAAAATTTCGAACCATATTAAATCACTCTATCTTAAATCATTTATTTTGAAATATTTTGGAAATTCTGAACTTTTTTTCAAAGCAATCGTACTGCTTTTACTGCATAAAGACGAAACATCAAAGCGCGTAAGAACGGAATGTAAACAAAATTTATACTTATTGTTAAATCTTTATAAAATATCTGATAATTTTATGTGCATATGTCTAATAATCATTTTTGACCGTCATATGGCTTTTTTTCTACTTTTTTACTAGATCTCCAAAACCGCTAGACCTGCCTTCATGAAAATTTGATCAGTTCTTCGTCTTGTTAATACAAGTAAAATGTTTTCTGAATTATTCAAATCGGACGCTCCGTTCTCTTAAAAACTGAGTTACCGTTTTTGGCACTTTTTGCCCCATATCTTCGGAACGGCTAGACTTGCCTTCGCCAAAAACTAATCAGCACGTTTCCTTATCAATACGATTCGAATGTTTTTTGAATTATTCAAATCGCTTCATCCGTGTTCCCAAAATCGTCGACGAAAATTTGTATCCGCACATACATACACACACGCACACACACACACATACATCCATTTTTTCGAAGGTATGCCAAAATATTCAGAAACCTCTGAAACATAAAGATATATAAAAAAATTTATTTTCGACTTTTTTGCGATTACTATAATTTACCCTACAGGAAGTTAATAAATTTTCGTTGATAAAATTAATATACAAACTACAACAAATCTTTGCTACTTACAAAAAATCGGCAAGAACTTCCGTGATTGTCCATAAGCCGCAAAAGTAAATAAAAATGGATAAGTTGAAATATATTTGAAATAATGCTAATTGTAAGTCATTTATTGAGAGGTACTTTTAATTTAACAATAATTACAAATATACACACTACTCTTAAAGTGAAATTTGCATATTTTGCAAAAATGTCAATTTTTTATTGTTTCCACAGCAATCAGAACTACTTAATTTTACATGTCCTATAAGCTATTTTGTTAAAACCTAATATTTCTTGAGAGGCAACTTATCGATTTACCATTCTCCTATGTAAAGGTTTTATATTAGCTTTACGTCTAATAGTTATCATATGATTGAATGTTTCAGCAATGTTCACGAAAGTCGACTTCCACTTATAATGATATTCCATATCATATTGAGATATATAAAATCGAGTGGAAATTTGACATCATAGCTGCCTGATGTAAGGCTTTGGCGGTGGCGGGAAAGATCAACAAAACCGGGACTAGGGAAACGTCCATTAACCACGTGAGCGAGTTTTTAAGGATTTTTGGACCCCCCCTCCCCCTTGGTGATACATGGTGATATTCAAAATTAACCCCCCTCCTCCACCAAACACCACGTGTATTTTTAGTTATGTGAAAAAACTGTAAAATTTTTGAGTGAAGTATTTTTTTTTTAAATGTTTGATTTAAAAAAAAACAGTTAAAAAATAAATACACGTAATATCTTACTATACCCCTGCCTCCCCCACGTGATATTACGTGTTTGTTTGTCAAACCCAATAAAAACCTCATGTGATTAATGGACGCACCTTAGTTGGTACTAGCTAGCCCACCGCCTATTTTAATGTTGTTGTAATTTAATCTTAGCTAAATAAAGACCATTTTTCGATGATCATTCTCAAAATATCAAAAATGCAGTTAAATCTAATTTCTTCTTAGAATGCAATTAATAAGATAATATCTTATATAATTTGGAGTAAACCCACAAAAGTACGGTTATTTTGATCGCGTTGAAATATAAATTGTATTTAACCTTTATCGGTCGGACTTCGGCGGTAGGGTCGTAAATCACCTGGGACGTGACAACGATCAAACCAATCTTTATTACAAAAAATGTAATATTTTCGATGGGCATAATTGGTAGGAAAATCTTGAAAGTAGTTAAAATAATAACTCATTTTTTATGAAAAGAGATTTTGCATATTTACCTAGGCCAGCTACGAAAAAGCTAGTGACCGATTAGGGACGATAATTATATTTCAATATATAATTTAACTAAATAGCATTCGCAAAAATACAAAAAATAAATGTCATAAATAAATAAATTGTTGCATTGCTCTTTATATATTACTTTGCTCCTTATGACTTAAATTAATTATATATATATATATATATATATATATATATATATATATATATATATATATATATAATAATATATAATAGGTTGTCAAATATCTCCCTTCCGCTTTTTTGCTCTTAGTTTATAATACAAAAAGGCGGAAGGGAGATATTTGACAACCTAACATATATATATCTATATATATATATATATATATATATATTATATATAATATATATATATATATATATATATATATATATATTAGGGTGGTCCTTAAAATGGTCATTTTTGAATTTCCTTGCTCCCAGGGGCTCAAATGGTTCCAAATAGATAAAAAACAATTCTCTGAAAGTTTTAGCTCTTAATATTAACGTTTAGATAGAGCGTAATTCAATCAAAGTTTTGTATGGAAATAGCATGGAAAAATTTTCAAACATTTAAAAAATGTTTTTTAGATGTAATTTAGCGAACAAAAGAATGAATAAAACTCATTCATTTGTCGCTAAGTTATACCTAAAACATTTTTTTTTAATTTTCAAAATTTTTTCCATGCTCTTTCCATACGAAGTTTGATTGAGTTGCGCTCTATCTGAAAGACAATATTAAGAGCTAAAACTTTCAGAGAATTGTTTTTTATCAATTTGGAACCATTTGAGCCCCTGGGAGCAAGGAAATTCGAAAATGACCATTTTAAGGACCACCCTAATATATATATAATATAAAAAAGTAATCAGGATAAATTTGCAATAGTCTGTTATATATCTGTAAGTTAAATGTGAGTCACCGTTACGAACAACAAGTCCGTCATTACAACGAGATACCAATATTGAACATTCTCAAATACAGTTAAAATATATAATTACATTTTGTGACAAAATCTACTTATGATTTGTGCTATTAAAGTTCATAATTATATAATTGTGACTCACGCGAGGACTGCGGCGAAAGATTTTTGCACGATCGTCCATGAGCCGCCGAAGTCGTAGAATAAGGTAGGCTGCGCGACGAACTCCTCCCGGAGCTGTGACTCTGGTACCTGTCAGGGCCGATCATGCCGACGCTGCTTATCGACCTGGGACTACCAGGAGACAACTGCTGCGTCGACGTGGGCGGCAAGAACCAGCCGTAGCCAGCCGACGAAGACGCTGATGAAGATATATCACGTTGGTGATGATACATGCTTGAGACTGGAATTTTTGTATTAAACATACATACATACTAACTTTTTATAGAGAATATTAGCGAATCGTAAACGCTTAAGTGTGGCATTGTACCTTAAAGCAAATAGCTGAAATTTGCTATAACAAACATTATTTAAAGAATGATTGTTTGTATCTGTCATAAAAAATTTAAAATTGCTTAAAAAAATTAAAATATGCATTTGAAAGTTTAAAATCTTCGATTTTATTTTGTTTATCAAGTTCTAAATAACGTTGAGAAAATCATAAGAATCGTTTAATAATTTTACGAATAGAATAAATAATATTCTAAATTTGAAAACTATTTTATAGCGGTTTTTCGCAAGTAGTATACAAAACATGTTATGAACTTGTAAACTATGTTTTATGCGATAAGTAAAATCGTTTATTGTGCATGTTATATGTAATTTATATTGGTAAGAAACCCCAATTAAAGTAATTTAGTAAATTTAGAAATTTACAAAATTGAATAAACAAATTATTGCTTATTGTTAAATTCTCTATAATGTTTTCTCAGTTTATGCGAAACGATTAAATTTGCTTCGTGTAAAAAATGTACTCCTATAACGTCAGTACTTTAATATTTATAAATAAGTAATTTGATTAGTTCTGTAAAAATATGAAAAAATGTATCTAAAAATAAATAAGTAAATGCGTCCATATTTAATACATACACAGATATATATATATATATATATATATATATATATATATATATATATATATTAGGGTGGTCCTTAATATGGAAATTTTCGAATTTCCTTGCTCCCAAGGGCTCAAATGGTTCCAAGTTTTAGCTCTTAATATTGTTTTTTAGATAGAGCGCAATTCAATCAAAGTTTTGTATGGAAATAGCATGAAAAAAATTTCAACTAGTGGGGTGGGTGGCATCGTGCCTTAAGGCAAATTGCTGGAACTTACAGTACCGTAACAAAATGTTCGAGGAATACTGAATGTTTTCAAATAGATTATTAAAAATATTTTAACATTGTCTAATATTTATAAGAATTATATAAACTGAATTGCAAAGTTGAAATTATTTGCTCACTATTCACAAAAAATTAAAAAAAAAAAAAAAAAAATGAAAAAATTTTTTTATTCCAGAATCAATTATTTTGTTAAGACAAGCAGAAAGTTCTTTGAATCATTCAAATCGGACGCTTAGTTCTCTCAAAAACTGCCATTTTTTACATATTTAGCTCCGTATCTTCGAAATGGCTGGGCCTGCCTTTGCCAAAATCTAATAAACACTTCTCCCAATCATTCCTAATTGAATGTTTTTTAGATCATTCAAATCAGATACTCCGTTCTCTCAAAAAGTCGATTTCTATTTTCTGCACTCTTTGCTCCGTATCCTCAAAACGGCTGGACCTGCCTTTGCCAAAAACTAATCAGCTCTTTTCCCTATCGATAGGAATCGAATGTTTTTTGAACCATTCAAATCGGTTGATCCTTGCGCCCGGAAACGTGACTGGAAATTTGTATCCATACATACATACACACATGCACACACACACATCCATTTTTCTGAGGTATGCCAAAATGTTCAGGAACCTTCAAAACGTCGAGAAATGTAAAAATTTTCAATTCCGATTTTCGGCCCATTACAATAACTTACCCTACGGGAAGTTAAAAAGTCTGCAGGGCGTCGAATTTTCAATAAAAAATGACACGAATTTTTACCTTTAATTAATTTGTCGCTAAGTTATACGTAAAAAAAATTTTCCATGCTATTTCCATACGAAGTTTGATTGAATTGCGCACTATCTAAAAGTTAATATTAAGAGCTAAAACTTTCAGAGAATTGTTTTTTATCAATTTGGAACCATTTGAGCCCTTGGGAGTAAGTAAATTTAAAAATGTTCATATTAAGAACCACCCTAATATATATATATATATATATATATATATATATATATATATAATATAATATATATAAGACTACTCGTAGAATTAAAAAAATAATTAATATTAGTAATTCTTCATTTATACATTTCGACACTTGAATCGTGTCGTCCCAAATTTTAAACAGAAATAAATACGATTTTTTGAGTTTGCAATTTTTATGTCATTAATGGAATATGGAGAATTTATTGATGAACAAAAATCAGTTTAATTTGTTTTTAGCAATTTTGAAAGACTAATGCAAGCAAATAATTTTTTCAAAACTTTAATGTATTTTACAGAAAAACCAATGTAAATGCAAAATTCAATTAGTTAATCCCGAACACAACAATATAAAAAATCTATTTTATAAAAAACATAATGTCTGACATAATGACGATTAATATTATTATTTCGATTCATGTTCACCTCCATCTGGACGTTCTTTAGCATCCAGAAAAGCTTTGGCAAATGGATTATATTTGATTTTCAGTCCCGTGACCTCTTCGTTTTGATAGGCGGTGACGGCGATGAATCGCGTCTCTGGAAACGGCCTTGTCTCCACCGTACGGGGATCCGCCCCGACTCGAACCAGATGCACCCGAGGCTCGTATTTGTGAAGCGAATTTAGCATTATTTGGCCATTACTATTCGAAGATTTGTTTGTAAGTTTAACTTTTGCAAAACTTATTGGTTCTTTTGTCCAATGCGCTCCAAAGTTTGGAGACTCAGGATGAATGTAGATTGGATTTGCCGGCGGCGCTTCTGCCTTACCACCTGGTACCTACATATTAATGTTAAAAGTTAAAAAATTGACTGTACCTTCGTTTATAAATATTATTTGAATAATAATAAATATTCTTTCATTTATAAGTTTTATTCAAATAATTAATAAATATCAAATCGTTATGTTCAGAGTTTCATTTCAGATACATTCAATACTCTTGGTATATATATATATATATATATATATATATATATATGTACAATAATATTTAACATAGCACACAGTGTCAATACATCTATTTAAATAAATACGAAAATATATCAGCATTCAAGCAATATCAATATTATATTAGGTATACCATAAATATACAGTCATATAAGTAATACACAAAACATAATAAAGTTAATTTAATAAAGTGAATTTACAAAATATTCAATGTCAATCAATAATAAAAATGTAAATTTCAGTTTCTACAAAAATTCCAAGAACAACCTATCTCTATAATTCTGATTCATAGCGGAAGAATAAATGATAGAAATCCGTGCCACTAAAAGTTTTTTCCCTGTCGATTAGTTTGAACATTTGCACCTATCTTTCTCAACTAATAAATATAGCTTTCTGAGACTTTAACGTGAAAAATATAATTTGACCAACGTAAATACTTTTTGGCAATGTTGCAAACTCAGGTAAATAGATTTGATTTATAATGCATGAAGATCATTTCAGAATATATTGCAACCATCTTTGTTAACAATAAGCAGGCTATTATGACTGAATTATGAATATGGTAGTTTTTTTGGTATAGGTAAATATAAAATCTAATGAATAAATAAATATAACTAGAGGTGCATGGCATCGTGCCTAAAGACAAAAAAAAATCTGTAAAATTTTAACTATTTTTCGAAGAAATATTCAAGCGCGTAAGAGCCGCATCGCAGTCTAACGGATAAACATTGGTACGGAGCCCATAGAAGTGTAAGCAAAATTCGTACTTATTATTAAAATCTCTATAAAACCTCTGATAATTTGACATGCATATGCCTAATGATCATTTTTTACCGCCAAATAGCATTTTTTACTTTTTTCACTCGATATTTGAAACCGCTAGACATGCCTCTTAAAAAAATTAAACGGTACTTTAATTTCTCAATACCAATAAAGTGTTTTTTGAATTATTCAAATCGGACGCTCAGTTCTCTCAAAAACTGAATTTCCATTTTTTACTTTTTTTGCCCTGAATATTCGAAACGGCTAGACTTGTCTTTGCAAACACTAATCAGCACGTCTTCTTATCAATACAAATCGAGTGTTTTTTGAATTATTCAAATTGGTTCATTGGTGTTCCCGAAATCGTCGACGAAAATTTGTATCCACACACACACCCACATCCACACACACATCCATCTTTTCTAAGGTATGCCAAAATGTTCAAAAACCTTTGAAACGCAAAGATATATTGAAATTTTCATTTTCGATTTTTTTGCGATTACTATAACTTACCCTACGAGAAGTTAATAAATCAAACGATCCAAAGATTTCTTAATGTTCGTCGCAAATGTAGAAATGCTCCCGATTTGTGCAAATTATCAGGAAGCATTTAGTATAACTAATTTTCAATATGTAAATACGACGTCAATAATCAATCCATCTAAGAATATATCATCATTATTTATATCCATTCATCGCTTTTCGCGCATTCAACATACCGGACGTAAATATTATACAAAGTACATTTCTTAAAGCAAACCTAAACCTATCAATGTCTATTTGGAAATATTAATGCAATAGATGTGTTATTGCATTGCAATTAAATAATAGCAATATGCAATTAACTCGCAAAGTTCGACATATTCACATGACCCTTTCCTACTTGTTGGCGCAGATAATCATTTGAGTTTTACAACACCCCTCAATAAAATTGATATAATAAAAATACATTTATTATATTGTAATCATAAAGCAGCAAGAATAAATTTAACAAAAACTAATAGGCGGCCATGATTCGCAAAAAGCAGAGTGAAACACAGTCCAGCTTTGTCGGTGCCGAGAATTAAAGGCATCAATTAATTTTTCTTTGAATTGCACATATAATTTATACAGTAGTGAAATACAGTAAACTTTTTTGGCAATAATGAATTTATATGCTTTCAATACGCATACTATATGATACATTTAAAGTTGAGACAGATTTCATATGGTAAAGATAAAGTGCTCAAATATAAACATGTACTATCTTACACAAGTTAATCTGTCCGTTATTAAAAGAATCGTGTTGAATGAATTAGGAATAATATTGATTATTCTTAGAATGAATGAAATATTTAAACTCACGTCCTCCGTTAGATGAACAGATCTTATGAATAAAAATAAAAAATTATATGTAACATATTAATTGTAATAATTCAATGTTAAACTTATTATACGAGTAACCACTGAACTACGTTGGTGACTATTTCATCTCATTTCTTTTTCAGACAATTATTACATCTATTAATATCATTATCACACATCATTAGTTTATTATAGAAATTTGCCAAATATATAAAAAAAATCAATAAAAAAATTAACGAATGCTTCGTAACAAAAATAATAATGTTTTAAATCTCGCTTTCACTAGTTATTACTCTTATTATCGTGGTTTTAGTTCTATTATTTATTATTATTTTTGTGCGATGTCTGCACTTTATTTAATGTACTTACAATTAGTCATACACAAATATGAAGAGCAAAAAGGCGGCAGTTGGAAACTTCGTAGTCTAGTAGAAAAATCATAAGTAAAATTAGAAAGTACAGTTTTGGTATATATTTCATAAATTAGAGAGATAAAACCATATCCACATTTTGGCCGGTTGATTGTCCTATATGCGTTTATCAATCATCAGACCACACTCTGACTTTACGAATTACTGAATAATTTATTCATATGATATTCGAAAATCATAGATTGCTTGAATTATAATTGATTTTGTCAAAAATCAACAAGATTATCAACAATATCACTCAATTGCTTTTAATTTTTTACTAATTTAAGAAATTTTAATTCAGATGTGATTAAACCTGCTTTCTCCATAAATCATAATTTTGAAAATACTTCGCATCATTAAACTAATATTACGATATAAAAAAAAATATGACGGATCAAAGAAATTAATTATTGAATATACACTAAATAACTGTATTGCATATACTATACACTTGTTTTATTTGGCAAAAAAATCTGATTTTAGGATATTAAACTATTTGTAAGCAATATGATATATTACTACATATTGCCAATCTATTATAATATATATATATATATATATATATATATATACATTCTTTCTATATAATGTAAAAAATAAATAAAAAATGCGGTAGATCCAATGATACAGCTATGGCTAATGGAGAGGGAAGCAGATGCGTAACAAAAAGACATCATTTGGGTTACGCAATTCCTTTTGGCATGCAAAATTTACAATGACTTTATACTTTTGTTAAAAAATTTCTTCATTGTATAATATTATACACTACAGAAGATTGATGAACACTATTTGTGAATAAGCTTTTCAAATAAAAAAATCAAACACGAAATTAAACTCATAGACTAGACAAATTGTATCAAAATTATACTACGAACCATTTTAGTAATATCAGTACATAGCACTAAAAAGTATTGAAGTAGTATTCATAAATATAAAGGTAGTACAACAATATTTATTCCTAAATTATTGATCTTTTTATATAATATTTAAGATTTGAGTTTATTCTGCAAAATTTCCTAAAATTTACATTTAAGGGCCCCGCTAGAACATGTAGACCTAGAAGCAATAGTAAGGGCAAATAGAAATAATTAAATATATTCAAAATTCTTATATTAGATACGGTAGAAAGATTACAAAGTAATTTATTACACGGGCTCATTGACAGCTCTAGCCAAGAAAATGCTAAAATAAATAATAAAAATTCACAAACTTGCATAACTCATGTAAGTTACTTCCATAATGAAATATTCGAAGAATATTAATTTTTTTCAAATAGATTATTATAAATGCTGTAACTTAATAATGTTCAGAAAAAAGTAAATAAACAAAATTTAATCAATCAAATTTAAAATTAAGAACATTGTCTAATATTTGTAAGAATTATATGAACTGAATTGCTAAGTTAAAATTATTTATTTGAAATATATAAGTAGGCTTTAGAACTTTAGCTAGAATTAAAATTAAAATCCAAATTATTTTGGTGATAAAAAAAATTAAAAATCAAAAAAGAAATTCCCAAAAGCAAAGGTTTCATCAACACAAGCAGAAAGTTTTTGAATAATTCAAATCGGAGGCTTAGTCCCTCCCTATCAATAGGAATCGAATGTTTTTTGAACCATTCAAATCGGTTGATCCGTACGCCCGAAACGTGAACGAAAAATTGTATCCATACAGTCACACACACACATATACATACACATCCTTCAAAACGTGAAGAAATGCAAAAAAATTTAATTTCGATTTTTGGACGATTACAATAACTTACCCTACGGGAATTTAATTAAAAGAAATGTGATATGTAAAACACACAGAAAAATAGTTTTTTACTCATTAAGATCAATCAATAATAAGTAACACCTAAATTTTTGTAGTGAAATGATTATTAAGGATTTCAATATATAGATATAATTTTATTACTTACCCATTCACCATTGACATATTTCCACCGATGTTGGTCTACTTGTACAAATTCTAAAAGCACTGTATACATCGCCGCAGGATCCAAACCAAATGCTGAAACCTTCACAACCGGAAACATTCGCCTGTAAACAAGGAAAGAGTTTGGTAAAATGCAATTTTTCTGCGGCACAATAGCAAGACACAAATTGTGTCATCATTATTAAGTTATATTACTAGGTGAATTAAAGATAATTCCATTATTTTTGCATTAGTTGGCTTTAATTATCTGTATCTCGCGTTGTATAAGTCGATTCTACAACGCGGCGTTAGAAAGATGAGATTACGTACTAAAAAAACTTTTTTGGCAGTTTTGTAATTGATTGTTTAAGCGCACGTCAAAAATAAATACTAGCAAAGAAAAAATACGCTATATTTTGCAATTCTTGTTTGATAAAGACGAAAACGCAATCCAAGCCGGTGAAAATGTGAATAGTATTTATGGTCCTGATACTGCAACAGCCAATTACGCGCAATTTGGGTTTCGTCGATTGCATTTCGGTAATTTCGATGTCAAAATGCAACCACACTGATAGGATAATTGTCAAAAATGACGACAAAATCTTGGAGTCCAATCATCATGTAACTCGATTTTGATTGCTCAGGACCTAATGATTGCATAAAAAATCGTTTGTAGCCATTTAAATAAGGCTGGATACAAAAAGAAGAAATGCAAAACCAAAAAAATTTAGAAAACAAATATATGTGCATACGCTCGTAAAAGGAAAACCTGATTATGAATTACAAATTCAGACCACAAATGCTGCTAAAAGTAAAGTTATTGCTGGATTCACTACAGTATTTATTTAGATTGCAAAAAATAATAGAAAACCTGCAGGATAGTTTAATAACTTTACTTTAAATCAAGACATATAATATTTTTAAAATTAATAAGCAATTTTTATTGAGTAATGAATTGTAAATTGTTAAAATAAAATTAAAATTAAAATAATTATTCGCACCATTCATAAAAACAATATACTTCTTCACTAAAAAGGGCATTACATTCTACTATTACTAGATTAAAAAGTTCGTTCAATTTTTATAGTAGCCTGTGATTTTCAACTACTGACTGAAATTAATGCGACGGTCAGAAGAACATCACAATTCACACCTATAAGCATTGTTTATTAGCTATTTGCTAAGCATGTTTTATATAAAATTATTTCGCAAGAAAAAACCTAAGTAGTCTAGTATTAGATCGTGCACATATTGCTAAAACGTTTCGTTTCATAAACTAATTTTATAATATTAAATAGTTACAATATTAGAAAAAAAGATATTAAGAAAAAGCTCTAAAATCATTAAGATATATATTTTTTTATATATTTTTGAAGGTGACAACTTTTTTATCAGGTTTCAAATAATATTACGGTTAAAAATTATGCTACAATAATGGGTAATAATTTGATAATAATTTTATAATGTTAAATTTCTTTAACGTGGCCATTTGAAAAAAAATCTATAATTTTGGTTCAATTCAATGATTGCTTTCTGAATGAAAAATAAAAATAGTGCAAATACATAATAAATAGGAATAGTTCTACATAAATAAATAACTAACACACATTTATTTATGTAATTTAGAAATTTAGAATTTATTTTTTCTACGGGATTTCAGAATGATCAAAATAAAAAGATTAGTCTAGAAACATAAAGACATAAAAAAAATAAATTAAATAGCTTATATTATAGCTTATTAAAAACACATATAACATGGTTTAGCTATTAATTTGTTGTTTTTTTTTCAAATTATACGCCGCGGAATGAAATTTAAATTTTATTTCATTTACATCAAACTTAAGTTTTTGTGCAAACGTGAAAAAGTTCTCGAGAGTTAAACAAATTATTGTTGTCATAAAATCCTGATTACGACCATGCTAATTCTGCTTAAAATAATTGTTTTAATTTAATAGAAAAAAACAATAAATTTGAAACATGTGTTCTAGATGCACGATGAATATTGCAAACGGTGTAATTAATAAAGCATCTTTTACAAAATTTATTTCACTAGCAAAACCTGAAAACATTATCAATTTTGTAAGACTGAATTATCAATTTTGTAATTTCAAAATTCAACTGATGTTATAATATATTAATCCACAAAATAAGAGATTAATAAATAAGTAAAATAGACAAAGTAAATTATCATATTAGCATTTTGTAGAGTTCTGATAACAAGAAATAAATTCAGATAAAACTATTACTAATTTCTTTTATGAAACATTATTTTAACGGAATACATACACGCAAAATTCAAATACAATTATCCAAGTATGAGAATTACATCTTCTAGAATTTTGGCTATAGAGATATAATAGAGATTCTTTGTGTTGTAAATAATATATTAGTATCAACCTTTTACTTAAAATTAAGATTGGGCCTATTTGTAAATTAACTAATAAAATAAAAATATTGAATTGTATATAACATACCTGCCATTTTTTGTGACTATCATCTCATTGGTGAGCGCTTGAAAGCGGATCCACAGATCCCTCTCGTCCAGCGAGATGGTGACTTTTCTGTTGGAATCGCTCTGAAGCGCCTCGCTCGAGCTGACTCCATGTTGGGCAATGACCGGGCAGCCCATCGCGGTCAGCGTGGCCGCGCTGTCGGACGTCGTGGAGCAACACACCACGGGAACCTTTTGACAATTACTTGATGCCGTATTGGCCGACTTCGATGGCAAGCAGTTCGACGTACCGACTTGTAAATGTGAATTTCTTTTGTAATCCGGCGACGTTGGAGAAGATTCAGACGATGTCCTCTCTGAGTAATTATTGCTACTTGCTAAATTCTGATAGTCAGAACAATAACGCAAACGATCATTGCTAATATAATTGTGACATTCGCCTGATTGTGCCTGATATCCGGACAAAATCTCATTACAATCCTCTGTCTTGGGTGAGGTATCTGGCGGCGTGTGGGGTAATTTGAAGACACCAGATAATCTGCAGGACTTGAACGGTATTTTGGAGAATTCGATGATAATGTTTGATATTGAGGTGCCGTATCACAATTTGAATTTGTTATTTGAACAGAATTTTTATAACAATTTGATGAATAATATGTAGATGTAGAACAGAGCACTGAAGGTGTTTGGCGTTCAGGTGAAGACTTTTGCGCTTGTTGACTAGAAAATTCTGTGTGGCTATCAGGCAGGTATGAATGATTATAATTTTGCGAATCGGTCGTCCTTTTTATCGTCGACTGATTGCGACCATGCTTTGAAGATGACGGCGATGTATGTGTCGGACTATTTATTGTGTAATTTGTCTCTGATGCCGACACACTGCAGTCAGCGGACGCAAGGCTCATGGAATTCGCAAGATTGCTTGGCGTCTGCGTTTGATTCAGGTTGGTGGTTGGTTCCGTCGCTGGCAGAATGTGCGACGCTGCCATAGCCGGCGCACGCATGTAGAATGATTTTACTGAAAATTAAAATTACCTTATGTTAGATTATAATATTGACGTATAATAAACTAAAATACTCGTTTTTAAAAATAACCGCCAAAGATTATTGATCTTTATAATAAATTAGTGTCTCGCTAAGACATGCACTCAAATATTAAATAAATATTTATTAAAAATTCTTATTATATGTTATTATTATTAAATGCCTATGTATATGTGTGCATATTTGTATATCTACATATGCATAGACTTCATTGCCATATCTATAAACTAAAATTATTAAGTTCAACTTGCAGACAATGATACAAATCATATTCTCGAAACGTTTGTAAATTTAGCGGAAAACAGAGTGTAGCATGTTCATGACATATTACTTAAATGTCTTTCCGTTAAACGATTTATGAAGTTCATCTAAAAATCTATAATTCTGTATTTTCTTTACAATTCATAATGCCTCAAACTTGTTGAGTTAACTCCAAAACAATAATTTTGAGCAGAGAAAAACTGAACACAATGTACAAGTCAACAGAAATAATATAGAAGCCTTACATCAATTAACGCTTTTGTCGTTGAATCGCTTTTGTCTATAATATCGGTACAAACATATTTGTTGAATCGAAGTTCAATATTTAGGTAACTTAAGGAATTATATTACTAAAATGTAATATTTTCATGTATATACAGCATACACGAAAAACATTTATTTTGTAAATGCTATAAATAAACTACTGAATATTTTCTTAAATTTCGTTTTCATTTTAGAACTGCAATCCTTCCGGTTAATAATGAAAAATAATTTCATTTAAAAAGCTGAGCAACTATTCAAACTATTTCATGAATTCGTAAAGAATTGCGAATAAAAACGTTAATTGCACGAGATGATCAAATAAAACAGCTTAGTACTTCTATTTAATTATCGACATAGCAAACAATATCATACGAATGGCTGTTTTGGCTCGCTACCACAAAAACTGCATCTTTGCAATGAATATAAATTGAAAAATATTTATGGAGTAACTGTTTTCATTAGTGGCAATTGCAGTATTTTTTTAGCATTAATATTTTCTTCAAAAAAATGTTAACATACTTTGACATATATTAGTGTCACCTAAATTTTTAGTATATTTTTAACTACTTTCTCTAATATACACTAGCTTCTTTAACACTAAATCTACCAACGCCAATCAAATTGACCGTTTTAAACATTTTGTAAAACGTAAATTATCAAACTTTCGTAGAATATATTAATAATATTTTCTTCACTCTGCTTCTAGTTATTTTGCTACTTTCCGAAAAAAGTGGTCAGTATGATTGAAAGAAAATAAAGTTATATGGGGCGTTGTTTCGAACAAAGACTAGGTATAATATATATTTAACAATATATGTATACTAAATAAACCATCTAAATTTATAATAAAGTTGTGGTTGGCGTGTGAAGTCAATAGTAAATACATAATAAATGGACGTTCCTATTTGGAAAATGATAAAAAAAATTGATTATACTATTCCACTTGGGAAGTTCGTTGTTCTAAAACTGATGAATCTTTTCACAGATTTTGAAGCAAATTGTATAAATCAAATTTCATAATAGTAAACTGAAAAATGTGCTTGTTCTAATTATAAGTTTCAAACATAATAATTCGATAGAAATAAGAGAAAGCATCAAACGAAGAATCTATTCGATTTTGAATTAGTACAAAATTTGGTGTAGATATTGCAGACCAAATGATAAAATAAGTGTAACTTGAAATCGGTAAGATTTAGATGGCCACTTTACATATTTTTCAACAATTTGCACCTGGATAAATGCGAAGATTTTGAATAAAGAAACGACAAGTCAACATATTTATAGAAAGGAATTTTTGTTCTAGTAAGCTTCAGAACGACGATGCATATACAAAATTTCAATGAAACCAAGTTTTGGCGTAAAAAACCCTTGTTAAATAATTTTTTTTCAAAATATATAAAACACCAAATATTTTTGCTGTAAAATAAACATTTCAGACTAAAATAATTTTTTAAGAAAGCCGCTTATGATATTCTGTATAAAGATTTAATTTAATTTGTTTTTAGTCTTTCTTTTATATATATGCAGCATCAAATTAATCATTATCGGAATTGAATAATAATACAGATAAATTTTTAATTATTGGTCAATATGGACGCACGCGGTTGAATTAGGTATACAAAATTGTCGGCAGGTTTAGTGCTAAATAAAAAACTAATTTTGCACTTCAATAATAATTTTCTCGAATTGATCAAAATCTGCTCTAATATCAAATAAATTATATACTATCTCTTGTCTTTGCCGGTCAAAACAAATAGGTTCGAATAGACAATTTGTTGCAGCCGTTTCTAAAATCTACGACGTTTGCTCCCACAAATTTGCACTTGCGGACACTCTATTGAAACTGCAAATTTGGCAAAGTCATCGAAAAGATCCATAATAAATGATTAGTTGCAAACAATATCATACGAATAGTTGCGAACAATCCTCGCTGGCAAGTTTAAAATCAGTCAGCGTTTAATATTTGATGTTACTACATCATATTTCATATTTCAGTATTATTGATACATGCAATTAAGGTCGCCACTATTTCTATTTAGACTTCGTTGTGTACAGTCAGCTAAGCCACTTTCTAGACGTTCCTCCTACATATTAGCTCAAGTAGAGGCCAGCACACTGCGCCGACTGTACAGTCCACAAACAGTGTGTACATTTTTTGTGTCGGACTTTCCGTAATATTTTACAAATGTTTGTTCTACGTGAACAACCGAGTAGTATCACGAAGCATTTGGTTTTTGTGTTTGAGCTTTGTTGATTTGTTGTAATATACGAGGTCATCCGACCGCCATGCCGTCGGGAAGCTACTTACATGCATGTCATACATAAAAATAACCAAACAACGTCTCTTTGCAGCCATTCGTAGATGTCGTTAGTCAATCCGGGCACAGATTAGTCAGTCCGGGGCAGAATTTTTGTATTAACTCATTTTGATCGGACCTTAGGCAAAAAGGTTAAACAGACTAAATCTGTGATTGAACAGTAAACTTTGTTTCTTTCTCACAATCTGATAATAATTAACAAATTAAATGGTGTGGTCAAACAGGGCTTGTGTTACTAAGGTGACCATACCTCCCGGTTTGGCTCGGGACACAAGTCCCCACCTTGTGTCCCGAGTTTTCCTAAAAGCAATATTTATCCCGGATTTAGATCTTTTGTTCGAAATTGTCCCAGATTTTCGAAAAGTACTTGATAATAAAATTACAATTTACATTTACTCGTCAAATATCTGAAAATGATATATTTTATTCTACAAGACAACGGGTATGCTTATATTAATGAATACGTTATGAATGAGAAAATTGCCGAATACAAAATTCCAAAGGCGGGAAATCTTCTTACTATAATAAAATCTAACTTATATTTTCAGTATCATAAAAATTAACAAAAATTTTGAAAAGGGGCGAACAATTGTTTTAAGATAATTATGAGAAAAAATTATACAAGGCTCAAAAACGAATAAAAGAAAAGTATGAAAAAATATAAGATCTAACATCATAAGTATCATAAGTAAAAGTTCATCAAAAAATAAAGTTCTTACTAAAAGTCCGCAATTCTAATTAAAAAAAAATGATTTATTTTTGAAGAAACTGTCTTTATTATATCCTTAAATAGTATAAGGGTATACACCCCCCCTCTCCTTCTTGATTAGTATAACTAAAAATAGTCGTCCCGGTTTTGACTTAAACTATCTGTAAGTGGAATTCTGCCTTAAGGCAATTAAGGCATCGTGCCCTTAGGCAAATTGCTGGAACTTCCCGTACCAAAAATTATTATTTTTTTTAAAACAATTAACATTTTTGAAAAAATTTTACTTCGAAAAAATAAGATTTTTGAGAAACTATAAATTGGACAAAAAATTATTTTTTTTGAAAAAAAAAATTAAAAAAAAAATAATAATTTTTTTTTTTTTGAAAAAAAAATGTTTTCTTTATTTTGACATATTTTGGAAGATCTGAACTTTTTTTCAAAGCAATCGTACTGCTTTAACTGCATAGAGACAAAATATAAAGCGCGTAAGCGCCGCGTCGCTGTCTAACGGATAAACATTGGTACGGAACCCATAGGAATGTAAACAAAATTTATACTTATTGTCAAAATCTCTATAAAATATCTAAAGTCTAATAATCATTTTTGACCGCCAAATGGCATTTTTTTTTACTTTTTTTTGTTATATCTCCGAAACCGCCAGACCTGCCCCTATGAAAATTTGATCAATTCTTCATCTTCTCAATACAAGTAAAATGTTTTTTGAATTATTAAAATCGGATGCTCCGTTCTCTTAAAAACAGAGGTAGCGTTTTTTGCACTTTTTGCCCCATATCTTCGGAACGGCTAGACCTGCCTCCGCCAAAAACTAATCAGCACGTCTTCTTATCAATACGAATCGAATGTTTTTTGAATTAAACAAATTGCTTCATCCGTGTTCCCGAAATCGTCGACGAAAATTTGTATCCGCACACACATACATACTACGCACACACACACACACACACACACACATACATCCATTTTTTCTAAGGTATGCCAAAATATTCAGAAACTTCTGAAACGTAAAGATATATAAAAATTTTCATTTTCGATTTTTTTGCGATTACTATAACTTACCCCACGGGAAGTTAAAAACTATGGTCACATTACTTATATGGATCTTCAAAAACAAATCGCATTCAAATTTCTTAAATATAATTGAAGCACGAAACAAGCGTATTTGTGCAAATATTCTCATACAAACTTAGACTTCCCGTAGATTAGTGGTTACAGCTATGGGTTTCAATCAGAGGTCTCTCGGACTGCCTGATGTCAAACATAGATTTTCACTTGAAAATATATATATAGAGATTTCATTTCCAAGTAAAAATAACTCTTGCCCGGCATTAGTGCATCAATAAAAATAATTCATCGCTATTGCATAAATTGTAAAAATAAAATTCATCAC